TGTTAAATTAATAATGAAGATCCATTTTGTTACATCTTGTGATTCGTTTATTTGGCAATCGCCAATGGCAGTCAGCAGGGTTTAGGAACATCCGTTGTTCGACTAGTTAGTCAAATGCGTTTTGTTTGAATATACTTTTTCACTATTTTTGGTCTTTTGGAAAATGTTGTTTGTGCTGTATTTAGACCCCTCTACCAAGAAATTTGTTTTGCATGCACACGTATAAAAATTGCGACTTTTATCCACACAATCATAGGTTTGAACGTTGTTTTCAATTTAGACTTATATATTATATCATATAGAGATCATAACCTTCGTTTTAATAAAACCAGTTGATTATTGTGAATATTTTAATTGACCAGCCTTATTTTTTAATCAATGTTATACCTTATGTATACACAATAGTTAACAATGGGGTTCATGAAGTTACCATTGTTTCCTTGTATAGCTATCACCTCTGAAAACTGGACTTTAAACCTGTTAGTCAAATGCGTTTTGTTTAAATATACTTTTTCACTATTTTTGGTCTTTTGGAAAATGTTGTTTGTGCTGTATTTAGACCCCTCTACCAAGAAATTTGTTTTGCATGCACACGTATAAAAATTGCGGTTTTTATCCAACGCAATCATAGCTTTGAACGTTGTTTTCAATTTAGACATATATATTATATCATATAGAGAGCATAACCTTCGTCTTAAGAAAACCAGTTGATTTTTGTGAATATTTTAATTGACCAGCCTTACTTTTGAATCAATGTTATACCTTATGTATACACAATAGTTTACAAATGGGTTCATGAAGTTACCATTGTTTCCTTGTATTACTATCACCTCTGAAAACTGTAGTTTAAAATGTAAATTTAATGAAATGACTTGAAATAAATTATTACATGACAATGTCATTTGTACGGTTTTAGAACAGAAATTCACACCATTGATATAAATGTTTCAAAAACGCATTGAACATGAAAAAGATCTCTACGATGTTAAATCTAAAATAATTTTAAAACAATCTTGTTTACCTTATTTCGAAATATTTCTTAAACATTCCTTCCTCGGGGTGTCCACCATAGGCAATCAAGAAAGAATATTATATAATTAACAAAACATATTATATAATTAAAAGGGGCATTAGCTACGAGATATATACATGATATATGTTCATTCATTAATAAAAGTAAAATAGTAAAATAATAATTCGCTTTGAGCAGCCAATTTGGTCCATGCATCGTAAATTGTTTATATTTAGACTTTTTATAATTTTGATATACGTTTTAGTATATAAAAAATCAAATATGAGAATTTGAGTCAAATCGGTGAAGATGAATTTGACAGCTAATATAAAGGTTCACAATGCATAGAATAATATATGGCATTATCTCAAATCATATGTTATAACTAAAGTATTGTAAATAATCGTTTTTTTTTTATCTTTGACCCATTTACGTAGTTGTATAATGCGTATAGGAAATGGGCGTGCAATTATTTGATTAAAAGGATAGACACTGACACAAATATTTAACAAAACGCTTGGTGAGATCTTTTCAAAAACATGTGAAAGAAGTCTCTTAGACGAAAATACAACTGAGTGGAGACCAATCATATCATAATCTAAACGGAAGTTTACGCCATATTTTGTCACTGTCTTAGATCCTTAGATATCAGTTTAATCGTCTCATCTGTAATTTTAGCGATTGTGACCAGTCCTTTGACCGATTTAGACATTTTGACTCGGTATATCTCGATGCATGCATAGTACATTTATTTTTTGTACATGTAGCAGGAGGCGCTTCAGTGCATGCTATATATTGAAGTGTTAAAAAAGGAAAAACTTACATTTAATTAATTAAAATAGTTTATTCATTATATTCTATATAACATGCATGAATACAAATGTCTTTGTCCCAAGATCACTTTCATGTCATCCCCAGTTTAAAGTTTGATAAATCATTGCATTTTTTGAGTCATTAGCACGAATACTATACTCGTTAAATAAACACAATTATATAAGATCTTCGCCATTTTCATACACGTAGCTTTGTTGGTAGTTTAAAAGTAAAGAAGTAAAGTCATTTCCTTTGTTATAAACAAAATCTCATCAAAGATATATATTATACTTTATAATTTGGTTTGTCAGCTGTGCGTTTCGTTTCTTTTAGGACTCATCAATGGCGCCAAAATCGATTTTGATAGAGAAATCAAATACGAAGCCGATGAGCAGTAAAAATGTTACAATGTGTAGTTACAGACCCGGTTAGGCAAAAAAAATATGGCAATCATTGCCTGGAGGGGTAAAACAACGTTTACTTAGTGTTACGAATAATTCAATATTTTATAAACAGTAAATTTCAGGTTACAAAAACACAAATATTCCTGTCAACATGTAGAACAGTATATAAATTTAGTACGAATAAAATATGAAAGACAATGCTGTATGCTTTAGAAGTGATATTGATAACAAAAACATACACTATGTTAAACATTATAGATTTCGTCATTCTTAAGCTTCCATTACAATTTGCAGTTAAACCTTTCCAATCATGAACATGAACATTATACTTACCAGTGAAGGCCCGAATGTAAACTATCACAAAGATACTAGCATAAAGTGCATGTTAATGAGATAAACAGGAAATAAACCTGAGATAAACCTGTCGATGTAAGAGTGAAGGACAATATGATTTCATATCAACATATTTGTTGTGTGAGTCATGGTCGTAATATGTTTTTCCTTACATCTTATTTTAGAGACGGTTAAATGCACAGACGATGTTAAAACTATCTCAATCAAATAGGTGTCATTAAGTCAGGAACATCGTCATTTCTTGTCATAACTTATTTTCTTTTAATATTTTGGTTAATGGCTGACCTCATGTCCCCTCAGGAAATTTTCCACAACTTTCGAAGACCTCCGTTCATAATTATAGTAGCTAGAAAAAAGGTGAATACACTTAATATAAAAATAAGTGGATGTGGTATGATTGTCAATGAGACAACTATCCACCAAAGTTAAATGAAGTGGATGTAAGTAATTATAGGCAACCGTACGGCCTAAAACAATGAGAAAAACCCATACGGGATAGTCGGCCATAAAAGGCTCCGACATGAAAAATATGAAACTATTCAATTGCGAAAACTAACGGCCTAATTTATAACAAAACAATTCACGAAAAACAAATATGACAGACATGAACCATTGTATTGTCTAATTGCGATCACTGTATATTGACATAAATGTTTTCCATTGATTTGATTTCTTTTTCATTACACTCCACATTCCACATATATTTGCATTAACCTTACATGCAATGATTAAGCCATACAGTCGAATACTGCCTCTTCACACAAACCTAAATGCACACTGTCATACACACACATACACACACATAAATAAACACACATGCAACCACACCATATATGAAAAATAAAAGTTCATTGGAACAGAAATGTTTATTGAATATTAAAATACAAAATAACACAAACAACCCAAAATAATAACTGGTATCAATCTTATATAGTTAATGAATCTAATTATTACTTCCGGCATAACTCCAGCTTGTTTTTTCGAATACAATTGTCCACTGGGCTGTAGTGAAAGTTGGATTTTTTTTTATTAAAAGGAAATATACGGAAATTTATAATATAGGTACGCCTACATTTGCTTATAAAACGCTACTACTAATGTGGGTTAATTTGACTTGTTTGATTTGTATTTAAACAAATATTATGTAGATATTTCATTCCGCCATATGCAGGATTCAAATAATACAAGTAGGTATACTCTCCAATTCTGCATGCAGTGTTGTAATTGAAAAACAAATATGAGATTTAAAAGGTATTTCTGTATATGTCCCCTGCATACAATTATTTTGTATATTCAAATATACTTCCTAGTTTATAAATTGTTCTTCTTCTATTCATACATTGCATCAGACATAAAATTGTTCATTGTTTTCTTCCCATAGAAGTTATATTGATTATAAATATTAAATTCAGCTATATCGAGTGTCCATTATTTCTTTGTACTAACTCTCATATTCACTAAACCAAAGTTTCAAGTTAAATAAAAATATCATAATTTGACGGTGATGAAATATAGAGAAGTACGTGCCACTTACAATGTAAACTGTACAGACAAAAAACCCAGAATATTCCACAAAATGTGTACATTAAACTGACACACAATCTGATCTTCCAAATTGTCTATGATTATCATGAAGAAAGGATTGTTCTATATTAAGGATATAAGGAATTGTTAAATTTCGTTGGTATCAGTTTTAATAATTGAAATAAAAAACAATTGTGTGTATGTGGATATTTGATTGCGGGGTTTTGCCAAAGTCTAAATCCATGCTTTTAGAAAATGATCCGTTGTTTAACATTATACTTGTAGTTCACGTTTACCAACAAAATCCACGATAGTTGGTATCCCAATGAACCAACAGTAGTTACAAAACTCAAATAAAAAATGTACGATAAGCTATATTGCCTGGAGAGATCATCTTCATGATTACTTCTGTCATGTTGCCTACGTCTATCGAACATAAATGTAATTGCAATAACTAGTTGAATATATTCTAAAAATCTTTCCTGTTTAAAGTCAGAAAGACCGGAACATCTCAGCAAGAAATGCATATTTATATATATATATATAGATCATAACCTTTATTTTAACAACACTAGTGGATTGTTAATACTTTGTAAGATCAGCTTAATCTTTGAATCAATGTTATATATCTGATGTATACACAATAGTTTACAATAATTGTGTTTAAGAAGTTACAATTGTTCCTTTGTATTGCTATAACTTATTAAAAGCGGACTTTAAAATGTAAATTTTATGAAGGAAACTAAATAAGAATTATAACGTAACATTGTCAATCATACGGTTTTAGAACAGAAATTAAGACTATAGATATAAATGTTTCGAAAACACATTTAACTTGTAAAAAGATCTGTACGATGTTTAATCTAAAATGATTATAAAACATTAAGGTTTACCTTATTTCTAAATATATCTTCCTAACCGTGTTCACTGTATGCAATCACGAAAGAATGTAGAACAATGTAAAGGTTCGCAATGTATAGAATTTTAAATGACATTATCTGAAACTATTTTCTATATTTAGAGTATTTAAAATAACTTTTCTTTCAATCAATGACCGTGTTGCGTAGTTGTATACTGAATACAGGAAATAGGCGTGCAACTGTTTTATTGAAATGATACACAGAGATAAAAATGTTGAACAAAGCACTTGGTGAGTTCTTTAAAAACGAAAAAAAACAGGTAAAAGAATATCTTTGACGTATATACAGTTGGATGGAGACCAATCGGGTTTACTGTGTGTTCGTTTAGCCAGTAGTTAACGGGCTTTTGCTACATATTTTTAACCATTACATGTACGCTCAGTTAAAGGTAAACGATTCAACTCTTTGTGAAAATTTGAAATAATTCTCATTTTATTTTTAAAATTACTTTTAATTAAATTTATAGTTTGCATATTAAACTATAAGATTTTAAAAGTAATTTCAATTCGATTATTGTGAATTGTGGATCTTAATTATAGCAATTCAGTTTTCCTAACATTCAAACGTTTGATTTTCTTTATTTTTCATGAATTATTTATATATTGCAAATGTTTAATAATCAAAGCATCGCTTCAAAATATTTTTTTTCTCCGAAATTATGTGATAATTAAATACGGCCAAAACTTTATCTATGGTAAACACTATTCATAATAGAAGATTTAACTAGATAATGTTTCAAGACTTGAAAATAAGACAGACGACATATAAAACAATGTAGTCTTGGAATTTTCTTTTAGACAATACCCTCGTTTCAAAATCTTCGGCTCAGTACTAATACATCTGTTATACTTGCAGACCATAACAATTGCTTTTTAATAAAAAAAAAACGAAAAAAAAAATAGAATTGCAGTCGAAATAATTAAATAAATGCACATACAGCATTTGAAATGGATCATATGTAGGTAAACTGTATTTTAAACTAGAAACTGCGAGTTTAAATTGATAAATTTCAAAGCGACCACACTTCAATGAATGTGTTTTCTATGCGATTTTCATGATTTTTGCCATGTTTTTATCGTTGATTTTCCATATCATAATTTCAGTCACTGCAAACAGTCAATATAAAAATAATTATTCCATTACAAAAACAAAAACCTGTAAAACAGTAAAATAATAAAATCATTCAATTACCAGACTAGTACATGTATATTATAAAAGGAAGAAATGTTCACACTTGTTATTGCTGTAGCAATAAGTTTTAGTGACCGTAGCTCTCGATTTGTGTAAAACTATTTGTCTTCAGGTACCACAAAAATAAACGAAATTAATGCTGCAGTACGTACACGATATTCTAGAAAAATGGAAATTATAGGCACATTATATAGATAACGACAACAAATTTAGCAATTTTAAACTTAAATGTTGTCCCTTTCATGTCAAACAATTCATTATAAAGTATAAATAGTACTCAATAATCAGGCCAGTACATGCATATTATTAAAAAGAAGAAATATTGAAAATTTTTATTATTTTCAGCACAAACAAGACTTAGTATTAGTAACCTAAGACTGATAGAGCTCTCAATTTGTGAAAACTATTCATCTAGATGTAGCAAGAGAACAAGTTTTACTTTTAGTACATAACATTTCAGAAAAAGGCGAAATATTGACACCTTATACTTGTTTTAAAGATGCCGATAACTCATTTTTGGAATATTAAATTCAAATTGGTTCCTTTTTATGTCAACCAATCATTCTGAGGTCTGAAAAGTATTCAATTATTAGGCTAGGACATGCATATTACAAAACAAAGATAAATGAGTGGCACTTATTATTATTGTCGGTAGACGTTTAAGTTACCGTAGATGAATATAGCTCTCAAATTGTGTAAATAAATCCAGCCTAAGGTACAGTTAAGTACATTGCAAAGTTCTTATTCAAATCACATTGACAGACTTTTGTATTGATATACCTTGCATAGTTGCGAAATGACACTACACACCAATCCATTATAATCATGCAATTGCAATTGGTTTTTTTTCTGCATTAAGCTTGCAATGGGTCTTTTTCTAATCTATAATTAAATAACAGTATTTGAAATCAACAGCCTTCATACTTTAGCATTGAGCGAATTTCTGTTTAAACAGTTTCAGAGAAAATTTCTTAAGTGTGTAAAAAATGGAATGAAACGAAAAGAGGATTTTTTTTTTTGTTTTAAAACAATACTGTTGTCTATATTCTAGGAGACACAAATCATGTTTGACCTTCATAGGCTCGAGATCAGATCAAAGGTAAAACGTCTAATATCAGGATACATCATGTTAAATCACTTCGACTAATTGGCTTAACCTAGGTTATTTTTTCGTTTCTGTTTCATATGATTGGCCTTTTGTAATGTAATAAAATTTAATGAGACAAACGGTTTTACTCTGTACTATAATAAGAGAGAACGATCGATTGCATCTAACTATAGAAATACAAATATATTGTGTCTTGCCAACGTAGATGATTCCTTTTGTTACCGCACATACGACAATCAGCAGTTATACCTGTATATAATTAGCTTACTGCGCCCACTCGCCTTATATTTACAGCCCCTCTGGCCATGTTATTACTGGGGATCCAAACATAATTCAACATAAACATCCCCGAAAGGTGATATCTCATGGTTCTAAGTTCAGAGAACCCCAACACATCAATTGGAACCATAATTTCAAAATAATTATGGATTCCATTGTTGTCAATATAATGAAATTTTATGCGACTCTCATACAAGTGAGAGGTTTAGCTGTCTATAAAACCAGGTTTTATCCACCATTTTCTACAAAGGAAATGCCTGTACCAAGTCAGGAATATGACAGTTGTTTTCCATTCGTTTGATGTGTTGGAGCTTTTAATTTTGCCATTTTATATGGGACTTTCCGTTTTGAATTTTCCTTGGAGTTCGGTATTTTTGTTATTTTACTTTTTACACCACTTTGTAATTGTCCTTTCTTTACAATATAGGGTATATTGGTTATCACAAATCATTTACAAAATAGAATTATCATTTAATTTCTCAAATACATTTCTTAGCAGGTTCCGTTAATTGTGATATTTTGGCTTTAGTCCGATTTTTGTTTTCTAGACGCCGAATAAAAAATGCAAAAAAAACTCTCACCAAAATTATCATGCTTAGTTATCAAGTGTTGTTAAAATTTTAATCGACAGTCCAGATAATCAGAAGTAGGATTTTTATAAGAATTGTCATTATAATAATAATCAATAATACAATTGGTCAATATATATAATTTGATTTAATGAGAGAGAAAAACAATTATACTTAGTCTAATCATATAGTCAGAAGTGTTAAATCATCACATGTTGTCACAGTTAAAATAATCATCCAATGTTATTGCACAATTATTTTGAATAAAAAACCCTTCATATATGAATGCAATTTTAACTTCAGCTGATCTATTAGTCAGTTAAATGTACTATTAATGTAATTAAAAAAGGGTATTCTATTGGTATCCTCTACCTTGTTAACGTGATATTATATCTTTATAGTTTTCACTTATGACTGAAAAAAAAACATAATGAATTAAAACTCTGCAAAAGACGAGACTGTGACATAATTGAGAATAGTCTAATTGTTGTTCAGGTCATTGTTTGTTATAACACATTATTTTTTATTTAGTGTTAATGTATACAATTAAAAGTTACATATTCGGTCATGTGAAAGTAGGAATTACAGGCTAAACGATAAAGATACACAGCGTATATCATTTAAATTTAAACATACATGTCAAGTAACAGGAAATCTAACAATTGATGTACATTTTGTCATTCATTTAAATTAATATTTCCTGCTTAAAAGCTCAGTTCTAAAAAAAGATAATAAACAAATGGAAACTGGTTTGCAGCTTTGTGTTTTGTTTTGGATATACACCACTCTTTTTGTGAATTTATCCTTTACAGAAGATTCAGTTTGTCCACTGACGAAAAGGTAAGAACGGGAATATACGATGACAACCCCACATCCTTGTCTTTAGCTTTAATAGCTACCTCATATGAGCAGTCCTTCGGTTATAAATCGAGACACTTGAGTGTCTTAATCTTACATTTGTATATTTTGTTTGGTGGATTTGTTTTGTTGTCATAAAATCAATAGATATATGCAAAAATACAAAAGTCCATTTCAAGAAATAGCTATTACCGACTTTAAATTAATTATGGATTAGAGGACCGGTACAGCTACTTCTTATTGTTCTCATTGTATATCTATTCATCGGTGTTTGAATAATTCAAAACAGATTTGTTTGATGTGAATGTTCTTCGTTATATTATCCTACTTTAAGACCCGAATAGAGTCATGATTTTGTAATCTAAACGTACACAATCGATAAAGCTATAATAGAAAAACATATTTTCCAACTATGCCGAGGATTGCCAAGAGGTACAAAAACGTTAGCGATGAGTATTTGCTTTTTATTGTGATTTTGAATGTAGTACTAACTGTTGTCTATTAGTCAATAGATTGAATTATTTTGTACAGAGAAAATATCAGAATTTATTGACGCTTATTTAAGACCACATGTAGAAAATATACCATCATACAAACAAGATGCAACACACTATCTTAAGAAGATATAATCCTTGAAACCTCTCCCATCTAAACGATCCTTGTCTCGCTTGATTTTAATTTTCAATATTCTAACATTCCTCATAAAGATATTATGTAAGCCTTTAGGGAAGTCTGGACCTCTCGCAGCACCTTATTCCCACCAATTAAATGTTTAGTCTAGCTTTTAACTTTGGTATTATAATGCAATAACTACACATTCCATAGTGAACACTATCTTCAGGTTAATAAAACAGCAACGGGAACAAAGATGGTCCCGTCGTATGCCAATATAATAAAGAGCAAATTAGAAAAAACTAATTTTCAATACTTCTCTTTATCAACCTCTCGCTTGATACTATGAAAAAGCGAATACAAGAGCTTCGTGGTCACCTACAAAATCGACTTAGATGAACTATTACGATATCAAGAGATAGAAGTCGACATCTTATTTGAGAAATTGTTATCCCCTATTGGTAAGAAATAGAAAAACATCCCAAACTATCCAAGATCTTTTTCGAACCACCCATACTGGCTTTCCGTAAGTCCAAAGGCCTTAAGACTTAAGACTTGCGGGCTCTTGCAGGGTTTTTGAGAACAAACGATGTCTGACTTGTAAGCAAATACTGAATACCCATACGTTTAACAGTCACTCCACTGGTACGAAATACACCATATTTTGCAATGTTTACTTGCAAGAGACAACAAATACCGTGTATCTTCTACATTGTAAATGTGGTAAACAATATGTAAATGTGTCAAAACTGCTATTTCACGAATATATGAACATCAGAGTGGCCATGAATGTATGCACACCTTGATCTCAGTCGACATTCGAGATTCTCTGACCACACTACGGCAGATCTCAATCGACTGACTGCTACCATCATCGACCGCAACACTGCCTAGTTTAGGGAGGCGACTATCAATCGGGAAAGATTTTGAATAAGAAGTTGAAAAATGTTGGCATTAAATGGGATAAATGGGGAGGTGTAGTTCAAATACCAAAGTACTTACCACCGCAGCTGGATGTGTTAGGTTCATGTGGGATACATAAATACGCAGCCTATATTGTAGTTATTGAATTTTCGTGAAATTTTAGTATTATACCATCGTGTTTCGGTTTTAATTTGTATAACGTTCAAGATGGATTTAGTAAATTCAGACCAGATTGATAAAAGGCATTTAACATCATACTGATAACGGATATCTGTAATCCGAAATATTTATTAATACTTGTATTAACTGTTCCCTTTTTTAATATTGAAGTTGTTTTGTACACTTTTTTGGCGCATATATGTATATGTTTTTATTGTGTACTGTATCGTTCTTCGTGACGATCCAGTGCCATTGTAATTAATTTGTAGACTATTATCTAAACGTCAAGAAAAAGGAGAACTGTTGACATCTCTAACAAATTTCAACAAAATTCCAGGAACTGTACACATATATTAATTGCATTTTGTGTAAAACAATGTTATGATCTTAAAAAATCATAAATTTGATAACTTGATAATTTAAAACAGTCAAGAATGGTTAATCTATCGCTAGTAGACTTGAAATATGCCGCAGGTTGATAGAACCAAATACTGTTCTGCGCAGAAGAAACTGATGAATTATCCATTTCAAGCATGTGCCTTCCGCACCACTCTAAATCACACATACACGTATTCGTTCATCTGCAAGTCATGTGACCACACCTCACTTTCAGGGACCCATTTCGGTATATTCTATATAAAAAGAAAACATAACTTCATTTCAAGCGCATGTTATATTAATATTTCATCTAATATAATTTTTAATTGAAAATCTATTTTTAACTAAACATATTTTCCAGTTTTAAGGTCAATGGGGCTGATGTGTTCTACAACGAGACAGCGTGCTGTGATAATTACGAACTGATAGCCAATACATGTGTAGGTATGAAAACAAATGAATGTGTAAAGATTTGTGTGTTTTAACAAGTCGTTGGACTCACTTGTTAAAATTACTTTTCGTTTTATTCTGTGAATCAAATTAGAACAAACAGATTTAGTTGAAAAAATGTATTCTCATACACTTACCCCCCGCTTCATAAGATCTGTTGTTCGACCTGCTAGTCAAATGCGTTTTGTTAAAATATACTTTTTCACTTTTTTTTTATCTTTTGGAAATTGTTGTTTGTGCTGTATTTAGACCCTTCTACCAAGAAATTTGGTTTGCATGCACACGTATAAAAATTGCGGTTTTTATCCAACGCAATCATAGGTTTGAACGTTGTTTTCACTTTAGACTTGTTTATATTTTATCGATTGGGCTTGTATTATATTTGCCTTCGGGATTATATAATCCGTTCATCATATATCGACTCTTCAAAATTCAAGAGTCAATCCTAAAATAAGGTAAATTATATGGCCTTCCAAATACTGTTTCGATTCCTAACATCACTGAGGAGACATTAATTATAGAAATCCGGATATGGTGTACCAATTTTTGCACCTGATGTTTGTGGTATACCATCTTTTCCGCAAGTTTATTGTTTTCTGTTTGGTATTAAAATAATAATTAAGATCCATTTTGTTAGATATGGTGATCTGTTTTTTTGGCAATCGCTATGGTAGTCAGCAGGGTTTAATAACATCTGCTGTTCGATCCGCTAGTCAAATGAGTTTTGTTAAAATATACTTTTTCACTTTTGGAAAATGTTGTTTGTCCTTCATTTAGACCCCTCTACCAAGAAAATTGTTTTGCAATGCACAAGTATAAAAATTGCGGTTTTTATACAACGCAATCATAAGTTTGAATGTAGTTTTCAATTTAGACTTGTTTATATTTTTCGTTTGGTCTTGTATTATATTTGCCTTCGGGTTTATATAATCCGTTCACCCTATTTCGCCTCTTCATAATTCAAGAGTCAGTCTTAAATTGAGGTAAATTATATGGCCTTCCAAATATCGTTTCGATTCCTAACATCACTGAAGAGACATTAATTGTCGAAATCAGGATATGGTGTACCAATGTTTGCACCTTATGTTTGCGGTATACCATTTTTTCCGCAAGTTTATTGTTTTCTGTTTGTTACTAAATAAATAATAAAGATCCATTTTGTTACATCTGGTGATCCGTTTATTTGGCAATCGCCATGGCAGTCGGCAGGGTTTAAGAACATCTGTTGTTCGACCTGTTAGTCAAATGCGTTTTGTTAAAATATACTTTTTATTATTTTTTTTTGTGCTGTATTTAGACCCCTATACCAAGAAATTTGTTTTGCATGCAAAGAAAGACCAAAAAAGTGAAAAAGTATATTTTAACAAATTGCATTTGACTAACAGGTCGAACAACAGATGTTCTTAAACCCTGCTGACTGCCATTGGCGATTGCCAAATAAACGGATCACAAGATGTTACAAAATGGATCTTTTAAAATTATAAATATATATACAAGTCTTAATTGAAATCAACGTTCAAACCTATGATTGCGTTGGATAAAAACCGCAATTTTTATACGTGTGCATGCAAAACAAATGTCTTGTTAGAGGGGCCTAAATACAGTACAAACAACATTTTCCAAAAGACCAAAAAAAGTGAAAAAGTATATTTTAACAAAACGCATTTGACTAACAAGTCGAACAACAAATCTTCTTAAACCCTGCTGACTGTCATTGGCGATTGCCTAAATAAACGGATCACCGATGTAATGAATGGATCTTAATTATAAATTTAATACTAAACAGAAAACAAAAAACTTGCGAAAAAGATGGTATACCGCAAACAAAAGGTGCAAAGGTTTTTGTACACCATATCCGGATTTCGACAATTAATGTCTCTTCAGTGATGTTAGGAATCGAAACGGTATTTGGAAAGCTATATAATTTACCTTAATTTAGGATTGACTCTTGAATTTTGAGGAGTCAAAATAGGATGAACGGATCATATAAACCCGAAGGCAAGTATAATACAAGACCAAACGAAAAAATATAAACAAGTCTAAATTGAAAACAACGTTCAAACCTATGATTGCGTTGGATAAAAACCGCAATTTTTATACTTGTGCATGCAAAACAAATTTCTTGTTAGAGGGGTCCAAATACAGCACAAACAACATTTTCCAAAAGACTAAAAAAGTGAAAAAGAATATTTTAACAAAACGCATTTGACTAACAGGTCGAACAACAAATGTCCTTTAACCCTGCTGACTGCCATTGGCGATTGCCAAATAAACGGATGACTGATGTAATAAATGGATCTTAAACATAGATTTAATACTAAACAGAAAACAATAAACTTGCGGAAAAGATGGTAAATCGCAAACAAAAGGTGCAAAGGTTTTTTACACCATATCCGGATTTCGACAATTAATGTCTCTTCAGTGATGTTACGAATCGAAACGGTATTTGGAAAGCCATACAATTTACCTGAATTTAGGATAGACTCTTGAATTTTGAGGAGTCAAAATAGGATGAACGGATCATATAAACCCGAAGGCATATATAATACAAGCCCAAACGAAAAAAAAAATACAAGGCTAAATTAAAAACAACGTTTAAACCTATGCTTGCGTTGGATAAAAAGCCCAATTTTATACGTGTGCATGCAAAACAAATTTCTTGGTAGAGGGGTCTAAATACAGCACAAACAACATTTTCCAAAAGACCAAAAAAAGTGAAAAAGTATATTTTCACAAAACGCATTTGACTAACAGGTCGACCAACAAATGTTCTATATACAAGCCTAAATTGAAAACAACGTTCAAACATATGATTGCGTTGGATAAAAACAGCAATTTTTATACGTGTGCATGCAAAACAAATTTCTTTGTAGAGGGGTCTAAATACAGCACAAACAACATTTTTTCAAAAGACTAAAAAAGTGAAAAAGTATATTTTAACAAAACGCATTTGACTAGCAGGTCGAACAACGGATGTTCTTAAACCCTGCTGACTGCCTTCGCGATTGCCAAATAAACGGATCACCGATGTAATAAATGGATCTTAATTATAAATTTAATACTAAACAGAAAACAATAAACTTGCGGAAAAGATGGTATACCGCAAACAAAAGGTGCAAAGGTTTTTGTACACCATATCCGGATTTCGACAATTAATGTCTCTTCAGTGATGTTAGGAATCGAAACGGTATTTGGAAGGCCATGTAATTTACCTCAATTTTGGATTGACTCTTGAATTTTGAAGAGTCGAAATAGGATGAACGGATCATATAAACCCGAAGGCAAATATATACATATATTTATTTATGTACATTCTGTACGTAAAAGAATATAGAAAGCTTTTTGACATATGTAGATAAACATGGAAAACCCCCAGCTGTAGCATTATTTCGAAAATTCGGTGAAAATAATAAGAAAAATTCTAGCAATTTTAGATTTATATTGCAATAAATCAATCTTTCCCGAGGTAAATTGGGTACCGATTTTCTTATCGATTGATGATCGAATACGTTTACTTTATGCTGATAGAAGCTAAAAGCAAATATAGATTTTTATCGCTCATATTTTTGGAACACGTTCAATTATTTTTTATGCACTTAAAATATCATAAACATATTGCATGATGTTCGACAAAAGGAGTAACTTTGACACATCTGATAAATGCCGACAAAAAAGTAGTAACTAGATACTGATATTATAGTCCTATGTATACGACGGTACGTGATCTTTAAATAGAAGAGACAAATAAGCACACTAAATAAAATCCAGCAGAATTTCCAGCGCTGATACCTGTTGTTTGCAACAATTTGAGGTACTGCTTTCAAATACTGGTGCATGATTTTCATTGAAAAAAGATCTATTTGCACTTTTTAGTAAGATCAACAGATGTTTACAAACCACAGAAAGTAATGGCTGCTCACATTCAATATAAAACAATTCATCGTGAAGTAAAAAAGTTCTGAATTACAATACCGATACTTGTTGTTTTTTCTCAATTAAATAAAGAAATGTTTATACTCTGTAGTGATGCCGTCATAATTTAAAGTATCTGGGGTTTAACATAATTCATTATACCTGCGGAGCTATGCAATACAAACTTCAACATAATGGTCATAATCATCTTATGGTAATTATGCCTAATGGATTTGTATACTTAATTTTTGTCAATAAATAGTTTAATTAAGCAACGATTTGAAGGTGCTGTTTGGACTAACAGCGATACCACCAGTCAACATCTCTTTAAAAATATTGAATAAACATCTTATTTGAAAACGTTATAAACTTTCAGTATACATGTATACAATTTCAACTGAAATATTGTAGAATGCAACATTGGTTTTGTTAGACCAGGCGATCGGGACCTAGAGAAATGCATTCCTTGTGAGGAAGAATTTTATGGTCCAAAATGTGCGTATTCTTGCAACTGTGAGAAAAATGAAAGGTATGTAAACCGAAAACCAACACTAGTGGCTACAATTATATTGATATGAAACGAGAAGGTAGTACTTTAATGATAAACGATAAGTGAACATTCGAGATGGAAGGGAATACATGAATGCTAAGAAGTTTGTATTATATCATAATATACTGACACTAGAAAATAGAAAATAGTGCAAACAAATGTTGTCTCGTCACAAATACTTAAAGCCAGTGTGATTAATCAAAATAAAACTAAGGGAGGTATACAGGGGCATTCAAGGATCATCATGAATGGCAAAAAATCTAAACAAGGAAACATCCCAAAAAATCCCCCGAAATAAAAAACATATCTGGAAGAGCATTCATGTAGAAAGTAGAAAAAGGTTTGAAAATAATTGTTGATCTACTGCACAATTTCAATCACAATCTTAACAATTTTTCAGCAATATAAAATCTTTTTATTAGCTATACTTTACACTATTATTCCCCATGCTCGATTGAAAGATCAACTATATCGTCTCAATAAACAGGGCTTTGTCTATACAAATGGGTTGATACAAATTCCTATTTTAATTAATAAGCTACTGTGTAGAGTACCACCCTGCAAAACAAAATATATACACTGATCCTTTCCTTAATATTGGCAAAGAAGGTCGACTTCATTCTAGAATATGGAACATAACGAGATAATTTTAACGTTTTTAATGTCTAGTCATGTTTCTCAGCAGAACCATACTCTTTGCTTCATCGTATGGCGTTTACATATCTCAATTGGCACGTTCCGCTCGTGCGGGCTTATTCCAACTTTAAGAACTTCATTGCAGGAATTTTTCCTAACATAAAAACTGTTCAAACAAAGTTGTAAGGAGTCACCGCTAGAATCAATACTGTATAAGTTGTACGGTTACCATCACGAAATTGCTGACTGATGCCATGTGTCTATTTCTAAACTTACTAGCGATATGTTTCCGCGGTCTTATATCTTTAGATATCAGAAAAGTCGTCTGATCTGATAAATTACCCATTGTGCCCTATTTCAGTTTCTGACAGTCAAATTGAATTTGGATCACAATAGACGCTTACCCGGTCGACGCATGTTGTTCTGTTTCATTTTGAGATCATTCGATTCCTCAGTTTTAGTTAAATATCTTGATTTGTATCTTGCACAAATAACAAATGTTTGTCTACATAAATTACTTTATATCCGCTAGTTAGCTTGTTTAGAGCTGAAAAGGGTACTGAAGCTCTTAAGTGTGTTCAGTCATGTTCAGCCCGTCAATCAATTGTCAGATTTGTCCACTACGGTGAATTCAGTACATTTCAGACATTTCGACTGTAGTCAATTTGAATCTGTCAATCTTTGTTCAGTAGGTGTTATTCACCTGTACACAATAACATTATAATGAATTGAAGAAAAAGGTTGAAGAATGTAAATATGAAATGCAGGAAAAATTGGATGGTTTAGCTATAGAAAAAAAAGACCTCAAAAATTAGATACAAGCTATACAGTCTTCAAATATACAATAAGAAGAGAACTCAATGAAACAAGAAGACTTTCAAAAACAGGCTCATATAAGCAGCAATTATGACAACCAGTATGTATTCAAGAAAATATAACATGAAAATAGTAATTTTTTATGAAAGGAAAAGGCTATCATAAATGCATAGAAATGAACTTGGATCAGAAGAATTTTTTTTAAAAATTGTAAATGGCGAAATATATTTCTGTCATATGTTGTTATAGATAGATTTTTTAGTTATGGTGATACCTATACAAAGCAACTACAGCAAAGTATAAAACACAATTTTGGAAAATTGTTCATGTATTGGGTTCATGGTAAATGGTAATTAATAGGAAATGAATTTAAAACAACTGGGAATTTTTTTTTTCTTTTCTGTCCAATTTGGACGAATAATCTTTTTCAAATTGAAACAAAAGTTTTTTTTTTCAAAGACTGGCATAGTAAAGATATTCTACATATAAATGATATTGTTGGGGAGAATGGTTATTTTTCCAAATTTGTATTAGTTTCTGGAGGTTTTTCTGATAAATGTTGACATAATGAAATATAATAGTATAATTTCTATGTTAACTAAGACATCCAAATATAATAATAAGGGATATTATAGATTAGTATCTCCTTGGAGAAGTTTTTTAGATAAGTTGTAAAACTTGTGTCTGATCCGTTTGTCATTTTGAACAATAACATATGTTAAAACTAGTATCTTCTTTTATTTCATATATTGACAAGTTAAACCAAGCTTGGCAAATTTACCATGATAATTTGATGGATTAGCGGTAAAAACAAATTACAGACAGGAGATTTTTTTTTTCAGACAAAGCAATTTTTTTTTCTCTATTTGCTCGATTTATTTTTTTTATTTTATTTTTTCACCTTTCATTTAATTCTCTCTACTTTTCTGTTCTAAACCTTTTATAAAAACTCAACAAAGTGTTATATTCAAGTTCAAATACTAAACGTTTTCTGGTGAGTTATGATGGTATATATTTCGTCTCAAATTTAGCCCAACAATGTTCGATCTTCAATTTTGCGTTAGGAAATTTTTGTTCTTGCCTCAGCGGAATTCAAACCCTTCCTTCTGTGACATCGTGGCAATACAGCCTGTACCATGTCTAGGCCCTAGACCACTCGACCACAAAGGCTACATAAAAATATAGCTTTTGGTGGTTGATGAAGTGCCTTTCCTCGTCGGATTTATCTAGGGTTGTAACACAGTACATGATGTATAGTGGCAAGTAGATGGTGTTACTTTCAGATCAGCTATTTTTTCTGTCGTAAAGGATGATAATGTTAATTTCCATGCCGCAAAATCAAATTTTAATTTTATTATACACGTCTAAACATGTGAAAACTTTGTGACAGACATTCTCCATCGGATAACACGTGGTTATACAGGGTAACACCATAATATATATATAATTCGTCTCAAATTGAGCCCAACAATGTTAAATCTTCAAATTTGCGTTAGCAATTTTTTGTTCTTCCCTCAGCGGGATTTGAACCCTCCCTTCTGTGTTATCGTAGCAACACCGCCTGCACCGTGTCCAGCGCTCTAGACCACTCGACCACCTAGACTACATTAATATATAGCTTTCGGTGGTCGATGTAATCTTCGACTTCAGTATCTGAATTAATACAAACATGATATATGATATTCTAAAACATACCTATTATAGCTCACCATATGCCTATAAAATAAAGAGAGATAATTAATTCATAATCTTAAGATAACCTGACATTGTTGTACCTCATTCCCGACAGTTTTAAAATGAATCTCGACATTAGTTCCTAATGTTATACTCTATCTGAGTGTGACTAGAAAAACCGTATGTATGTATGTAAAAGATGTTCGACCATTATAAAAGTTTCTGGTCAAAGTAAAAAGGCGCCACTGGTGAGTCTTTTGTAGCCAAATCTCGCGTCTGGCGTTCCCAATTCAAATCCGGATATCTACGATTAGCTTACTCTGAAATAACTACAAACATGTTTTTTCAGTATATATCAAATCCAGTTTCTAGTTTGAGAAATGTACATTACGTAAGTTATGCTTCAAACGTTTCATTCATGTATGCATACTTTTTATAATGTTCCAAATTGTGATGTAACAAGATTGAGTATGTTAATGAATAAACCATCTGTTAATCCTGTTTGAAAATCATTTTAAATATGCAAACATCAGAAAACACGTGAGACAAGCAAGACCAGTGCATCGACAGGTTACATATCAGCGTTTCCTGCAATTAATTAGAATTTCAATACAGTACATTACGTCTTGAATTATTTTTTTTTTGTTAAAAAAGAATGTACAAATTAACATCAGGAATCATTTATTTCTGTTATTTGCCCTTAAATAGTAATTGCTTTTCTGAATTTCCAACTTACACAAATAGGCAGCTCTGTACATTGATATGTATATAGAATTATCAAATTGATTTTAATATTACAATCAACGTTATATTAGTGTTTAAAACAGATTCAGATAATAAAGTGTTTTTTGCAGATGTAACAGAATCACGGGATGTTTTTTGGAACATGTAGCAAACGGTTAGTACTGCATTTACATTTATTGTAAACATAGCACTATTAGGTCGGCGCTTTGTGTCGTTTTGTCTTGATATTATAGTTTTAGGCTTCATACAAATCTGATAAGACAATCCATTTCCAACTAATTTTCTACCTTATCGGGTTACAACAAAAGCAAAAGCGGTTTATAGTATGGGAAAATCAATCTTTTTTGTTTGCGTGTAAAATTGAATACCAAGTTTGGTTAGTAATTTTTCCTACAGTTTAAAAAACAGATCTTTGAAACTTCACGGAATGACGTTTTACGTATAGACGTGATGTACCTGCTTTATGATATTGTTTTTAAAACTTTTTCAATTGCCCAGACATTTTTTCAGGAAATTTTATACATGCCAGTACGTTTTTTGTTATCAACTTTCTCGACGGTTTTCAACTCAGATCCTTGCAAGTTCACAGAAAAGTTGTACATATTTAGAAGTTGTTTAGTTTACCTGCTTTTATTGAATTGGTTGATTTTGCCACATTTTCTTGCTTGTGAACTTAATCTTTTTAATATAATGAACAAAAACGATATCTTGTGTATGTACAATCAACTCCTCTTACAGTTTTCAACACTTATCCCTGAAACTTCACAGAAAGATTGAACAGCCTTTGAAGTTGTGCATAGATATTTTGAAATACCTTGAGAAATTCTGTTTCTACTTTTTCAAATTTTGGAACAGTTTCGTCAAGAAATATTTCAGAAAATGTTACCAATATATAATCAAATATGATTCTCCTTTTTGTTTTGTCATTTTGTTTTTCCATATTGTTAAATTTTCATTTCAGACCATCTTTCATTTTTAAGAAATGTTCTATAATTTCCGGATGCAGCCGGATATTAGATTTTAAGATTCCTTGTTATTTTTATTTTCATTTTTATAAGGTCGTTTGAAATTTCTTGGAGAAAGATTTAAAAAAACACTTTACTGAAATTTGTTTAAACAAGGTCCGATTAATTTCATAATGGAGTTATAGTCCTACTAGTGTACTTCATTCTACTTATTCAACTCGATCATTGGCACTTGACGTTGAAATCTAAGGTTGCAAAATGTGCATAGAAATAGATGAATGGTACACTTTTATTTCTATTGCGATTGTTGATAACACAGACAAAAGCTGAACCATTTCCTAATTTATTTTTTGTTATTAAAAACGTTTTTCATGGATACTAAGGTTGAGATCATAATGTCAACTTGATAAATCATGTGACACCAACCATTTTTGAGGTAAAAAAAAAGAACGTTTATTTGAAACCAAAACAGACAAGATAAAACAGTCGACATTGTCTTCAGAAACTAATATTCGAGAATCTAATTTTTCCAATTTTAAGTATGATTACAATCGAAGTTATCAATTCATTTGTACAACTACGGAAGCATTGACTACTAGATGTTGACAGTACCGATGGGGCCTTTATGTGGACACAAAATCGCACACCTTCTGAATGGTAATATAGACAAATGCGAACCTTTTTCTTTACTTTCAGCAGGTAAAAATCGTTACCAAAGAATTGGGTGGTCAAGCTACTTAATACACATTAACAACCATCAAAAGTGAAAGTTCCTTGTACAAAACTCCCTAGGAAAATATTACCGTAAATGATTTTTTGTCATTTAAAAGATTAGGAAATTATAAAGAAACTGAGGGTCCTAATCAGGCAAAATTGACCTTACAGTTATTTGGTTATACTTTTTATATCGTTTTTGGTCTTGTACATAAAGCTACTTACGTTTTACGTATTTATACATCTTGATCTTATAAATATCTGAAATTCAGGGTCAAGGAGGAAGGTAAATCGAGAGTCGCGGACGCACTAAAGTTATAAAGTGTTATTTTAAATTACTAAAACTAGTTCGACACAACCGTAGTAGACAGTTAGTTCCCTCAGGTACCATCAGCTCAGTACTGACGTGTTTTATAAATCGTTTGTAGATGAACTAGGAAAATATTTGGAATTTTGGTTCCAACCCCAATCAAAGTAGACCATGGAGTGAAGCCATCTTCGATTGATTTTCACAGTTCGTTCTAATTTTGTGGTGACAAAAAGGAGGATTTAGCGCTTATAAACTTGTGCAAAATCATTACAATAATTATGTGACCGGCCCGAGTCATTGATTTTCCTTGTTTACTGTCTGTCATATTTTTTTTAGTTTATATTTTGACATATATCAGGCAGTTGGTTATCTCGTTTGACTTGTATCACATTCTGTCATGCTGGTGCCTTTTATAGCGCTTATTTCCTTGTAGAAGGGGTATAGTTTTAATCAAATAGTAAATAAAAAATCCATAATATGATATGTGTAAGACAAAAAACTAATACCTGTCCCTTTTGTATAATACTGTTTAACAAAATAATCGCTGTCATCGCTTTGTATCTGAATGACGACCACAATGTTCTGAGGTCATCCACGTCTAAAATAAGTAGATGTACAAAACCCGCTGTTTTGGTCATATGGGACGCGTTTCCAACCTGGTAAAGAAAAATCATATACGGCGTACATGTATAAATATAAATATACTCATTCAATCAGAGGAAGCTGAGCTCAGGTCATATATTCTATATAAATATACAAGGAAAGACGACAAAGACAACCACATTTAATTGTTTTATACTCATCCTATACAACCGTACAACACAGGTTAATAACTTGAATTCATTTTGTAATACTTGTATTGTTTGTGTTAAATTACAGTCAACAGTTGTTCATAAATGTTCAAATTTAATACAAATACAAAAGATACAAATAAATGTAAAGAAAATCCCTGAGGGATTCTCATGAAATCAAATAGAAGTAAGACCGGTTGCGTTGACAGAACATGGTAAGTGACTCCTGTTATGCATGCTAAACTAATAAGATGAGTATCTTCTACATTGGTATACATAAATGGATGACCTGTAGTCATTGTTTTTGCAAAGGGGGTTTTAAAATTTTCATCAGTACTATACAACGTGTACTTGTCTCTGGTTTTTGTGTTGTATGCATGTATCTTATCAGAGATTTTGATTTTCTACAAATTTCAGACTATTTATTTTCAAGTTTTTGTTAACCCTCTCTCTTATTTCTGATTCGAAGATAGCAGCAATGATAATTTTCTTTTTTAATACCATTGCTACCATAGTATGGGTGACGATCTCACAAATATTTTGAGGTAGAAAAAAATGGTGATGATGATGATGGATGCCTGCTTAACGTCCAGCGGAAATTAATATGCATATTCAGGACGAGAACATGTTAATGTAATATGAATATTAAAAAAAGAAAATAAATGTTCATGCACATTTGGACTGAAGAACTTTTGTCTATGACATGAACAAGTTCTGGGTATATTATATAGATAAAGTATCTGAGTATGTCAATTGTATAAATAATATCTAAGCAAGGTACATTAAATATCTAAACTAGTCTTATTTTCTTAAATGTATTTGACTGCCACGACTTTCTCTATTGAGTGAACCCGATGTAGGTTATTACAGAAGCTGGTCCTTTATTACTTACTATGCGGTAAGACTTTTGATCATTGTGAGTGGACGTATGGTTGCATTAAATTGTTCACGTTCATGACATTCATACTACATCTCAATTTAATATATTTTGTTATCACAACCTGTGTCCCTTTTAATTTTCTTTTTCACATCTTAAGCAACTTTATTGTAGATGAACATACAACATTATTTTCAAAATCATCCACACAGCCAGAATATGATGGTAATGTATTCTATGAATAAACAAACTATAGCTTGACACAAATATTACTATTTTATGTTTGTGTGCAGATAATAAAATTTGAAACATTGTTCTAATTAATTACTGCTGTTAGATTAAATATTTTTATCATTATTTTTATTTCAGTGTTTAAACTTGAATAACGCAGTTGTCATTTACAACATGTATAAACTAAAGACTACATGTATGTGTTTACTGTGCAAACAGGTCCATACGCATACATACATAATCATCCAAGGTGTACATACAAGAAGTGCATATATTTTGTTTTAAAACACAAAACAGAATATCAATCTTAACTGAAGACGTGGATTATATACAATAAAAAAGATCGACAAGACGTTATTTCAACTTGGAAAGATATTAAAAAAGACCATTCTTATGACATGTATTGATTCCTTCTTTAATGACGATATGTAAGCCTCTAGCATACGTCTCCTTGTACGTCGTCTGGTATTTTACAAGATGCGAGGCATACGATCTTGGTCAAAAACAAATTTAACATTGTATTATTCAAATGTCATTACACTATATCAACTGAAAAGATCATACATTTGTTGAAACCGTTCTTCTAGGAATTCTTCATTGCTGAAAATTGCCACGATAATAGAAATTTTTTTTTTTCGTTATAAGCGTGAAATTACAGAACATTAAGATCTGATCTGGTTTAAACTCTTTTCATTTGACGATGAGTCAAACTCAAGGGCTCAAATCCTTTTATATTGAGTTTTTCAATCCTCTTTATGCAAAGTCCTTTCAAGGTCTATTTTATACCCCGACTTGTGAGTATTTAATTGAACATCGGTAAAGAATAAACTCTGACTACATGCTTCCTTTCCAAAGTAATCACTACATGTACATGCTATCGTTTTTTTTTAAATTCAGCTATCAGACTGAGCAATTTTCTGATAATATTTGTTTGTGTTTGTATTGACTTTTTTGATGAGTTTTTCATGTATCGAAATAGTATACATTATAAAATATTATCGTTTTCATTTAATCTAACTGAAGTCGTAAATATCAAGCTTTGCTAATGAAATGTTATAACTATTGGTTAATTTCTCGGTATTTATATAATTATATGATTTGAAAATAGCATCCATTTAAACTAAAAACAAAAATAACTGCAACAAAATACTATATTTTACTTTCAAGAATTTATAAATCACAAAACAACGAATCATTCGATACATTCTGATGTTTTAATCATCTTGACGAACTAGTCTTTCATATTGTCGAATAAGTAGTCTTTCACCATACTGAACATTTCTGACATGCACGTCATGTGTACTCTTGTGGTTACTTGCTATTGTCTTATTGGCAATCATACCACATCTTCTTATTCTTATATCAATATGTATGGCTTTATTTTTTCTAGATAATTCAACAACATCAACCGACAAGAAAACTGTAACAATTACACATGTTACAGTTTCAACAATTTTACAAGGTAAGACAAGTGTGTATGTTAACATGCGTGAACTGAAAGTCTTTCTTTTCCGTATTTTACTTTGGAGATTTTATTTTATTTGTTAGGATTTTAAGTGAGTGTGCTTAATATTTTACGAAATTATTTCGCTTTACCAAGAATGATTAAGATATGTATTTCTTCATAATTCATTTAATTGGTAGCACGATCTACGGGCATTAACAAAGAAACAAGTGTGAACGAAATACATGTATAATATAACAATTTCAAATTTCACTATGGCATAAAAAAAGCATCTAACGTTTGTAAGATTGTCGAACTGTACAAAATATATGAATAGATATTTTTAAATCATAATGATTATTATACGAATTTTTTTAATTTATCAGTAAAGCAACAATAAATACCTTTTGAAACTTCAGTAAAAAAGGTTTCAACAGGTTTCTTACGTGGAACCTTATCATTCACGGGTATGAAAAGGTATTTTGCTAATATCATGAATATGGTGAAAAACGAAAAGGAAAAATTTATATTAAATCTTATTTAAACTATTTAAGTTACCAAACTAGTATCTAACCAAAACATCATAACAAATTGTTAATATTCAAATCGTTAGACCAATCACTCACTTTAATACTAGTTTGGCTAACATAAGAAGCAAAATATGATTATTTCTAAATGTCTCGATGTTGATTTCTAACTTAGTTTTACTCTCAGCATTGATGTTATTCGGTTCAGATAACTCCAAAAGTGGTTGGGAAATTACTTATTTTTAGACATACTACAAACAGCATTTACATTGTCCCACCAAGTGACAGTGAATTTTTTATTGAGAATTTTCTTTTGGACCCCTTCATGTGTTTCTTAACTTATTCCGTCCATATTTCTTATATTCACCTGAAAATTTAATTAAATTAATTTGTACTTGAATATATAATCAACAACCGGAAGTGGAACTCAATAGGGAGCACGGGAACCCCTAGATAAAGGATTGTAAACCCGGGTCGCTCGAGGAGCTCTTGGGAAAGGCTCATTAGCGCACGCAGGTACGCTGATACCTCCGTTTGTTTTACATCTGCATAAAAAATATTTAGCGTATTTTCGTTAACTACATGTATGTGATATGTAGGGTTTTCATGCACTCATGTTTACATTGTGTTTTGTTTTCAAATCAAATATACAGGAATCCATTATTGATATAATGGTACAATTTGAAGAAGGATTTGACATTTAAAATAACATTTGTTTGAAGTCATACTTTTCCTAAGTAGTCATTCGTCCTATTTTCATCAAAATATATTGCCACACGAATGAACTAGTCTTTAAATCATTTGTTCAATGTGGGCGGATTGGCCACATCAAAACCGAAGAAAAGTTACATTCATGTTTTAATTTAGAAAAGGCAAGTACTTTTCGACATTTCATATACCATATCTCCTTTAAAATTGTCCATACTCTCGCAAAGCTCTTCACTTTAAATACCAAGTGCGCCTAAAAAAAAACAGTATTGCTTGACCACTAAGATAAACCAACAAATATACGGCACTGTAAAGCCTCAAAATCAGCAAAACCCATACCGTATTATGATCAATGCATTAATTATACATTAGTTCAGAGAAACATTGTTTTAACAATCCGTTTAAGTGTAAAGCTGCGACAATGAACTGTTGTTACACTCTTTCGTAGAAATGTCATTAATAATGTCTCATTGCAAAACCAATGCTTTTAAGTATTGCGGACTACATGCAGAATAGTTTTAGTAATCGCTCGCTTCCGATTGATTTCGGGTCAAAACGGGGACTTAATCGTATTTATCCACTGTCCGATTACATTCTTGATGTGGCGGTGATACGTTTCCAGTCACAATGAAGAATCAAGATAAAATAAAGCAATGCTTGGCATTGGCAGCCAATTATTTTGATCTCAACTCATTCAAAGTTTTAGTATTATTCATCTTGGAACCCTGGCATCTGATGTTTTCGCAATGAGCGTAATACAGTCCACTTGTTTCCGAATCGTCGAGTTACATTTCCTTGGAGTTCGGTATTTTTGTTATTTGACATTTGACATATAGTACTGTATTCGATAAATTGTGAGTACATTCTTAAAATATCGTTGGTACCTGTTTTGTGGTTGTTCCAGGGTCGAATAAGGTTATTTATCTCACCACCTATACATTTCTAGTAATATGATTGGTTAAATGCAACCACGTTGAGACCATGTATATTTCATAAGGGGATAAATAGGCGTGGTCTATTTCAATACACGGTTAGTAGTAGTGTCACGTTCCTTCTTAAAATCAACACGGTGTTGAGAAAAAATCTGACAGGTTTCAACAGACGAAGAAATTGATGATAAACGATTGAAATAAATTCATAAAACACATTTAAAGTTAACAAGTTGTTATTGTTGGCATTTGTTTTTGTATAGACCAATGGAAGTAGATTCTTAATATACATTTTCGAAAAGTCGTTTACACAGACACTTACACCGACACCGATACTTACACTCACTACAAAATATAGGGACCGTATCAAAATGTCGAAACAGATTGAATGAATGACCCCGCAAAACTTAATTGCAGATATAAAAAATATAATTTCTGTATTTTTTCTTATTTAATATCTTTTCGAAATCGGCGCTAGAAACACCGAATGCTCTAATTAGTCGTGAATTATGTTAAGTATGAATTTGTGATAAATTATTTCATTTGTTTTTTATTTTTATTTTCTTTTTCAATCATTCAAACGGAATACAGTATTGTGGTAGAATATACAATTGGCAAAGAAAGCAATCGGAACATTAATAAAGTATCTTGTTTCTTATGAAGCAAGCACATACACTACAGCACACGTGGACTTTGTCTTTTAATCACGCGCCCACGGTGGTCGTCGGCATTGAGGGGACATTTTGGTCCACTCCCGCCCACGGGTCCACTTATCCACGGTATGGTGTGTGCATTGGGAGGACATCTTTGGTCCACGCCCACCGACGGGTCCACGGAATAGCGTGGGATCCACGCCCACTGCTGTCCATGGAAGATCGGTTGGGCGGAAGTCGTTCAATCAACGTTATATTACGGTGAATTTGCTGCCATATGTTTATTGATTTGTAAATGTATTGATATGCACTCGTAGAAGATTTTACACTTCATGTACCTTAACTGATAATAAAATATTGGGAAATTCTTTGCATTGTTTTGTGAGTGAATTATGGTGCCTTAGCTTAATTATTTATATAAAGTTCAGTTTGTATTAATTTTACATCAATGGGTTTACTTTAATTGAAATTATGTCCAGTTGTTAATTTAAAATTGTTGTCGGAAATACTGACCGGTGATTGACGTGTATATACGAGATTTATGTCAATAGACTGTAAAGCCAATAAAATAACATGTGCTGATTATAGGCGATTCTTGCCACATGCTTAAGTTGGTCACTATATCCTTGTGATCATAATTATATGCTCCATGTGTCACATATAACTGATTCAACTCGAACACATTTAAATGTAATAAAAAAGTAATGGAAAGACCTTGTAAATTATCGAAAGAAATTAATTTTTATTATACAAACATTCTGCCATGAAATTTCTTTTATTCGACATTCAGAACGTTAATGTATAGTGCTTTTTAAATTAGCGTTTGTTAATTTAAAGGCCAATGAACCACGGTGCTTTACGTTTAAGTTTACATGTTTTGTCCCAATGCAGAAGTTAACGATACTTCGACTATTTTGTGATTTTGTAACTTTGATAACAATAAAGTGTTTATCTATTCAAACGAATAGTCATAAATGACAGAACTACAATCGTGTTATGTGATAGATTACATTTCTTCTTGTGTGCAAAGTGGTAGGAAACTCCTATTCTGGATTTTTCCAACTTTATTGTGTGCACATGTATACACCTCATACTATCGCCCTTTCGAGCAAAACGGGGCTTCGAATGTAGATACGACAATTTTTATCTGTTTTCTCGGACACTTCTGACGTATATTTGGGCCTACATATGAGGGTGTGGATGAAGATTACAGAAAAGATAGAATTGGCAAAAAAAGAATGAATATAGAAGAAAATTAAAAACATATATAATAGAATAATTTGGCACACTAGGAGAAAGAATAACTATGGAACTATAACATATAATAACTATAATACAATGCGGATTACCGACATAAATGAAATACCACGGTATGGCGTGGGTTCCACGCCCACTGCTGTTCACGGAAGATCGGGTAGGCAGAAGTCGTTTAATTAACGTTATACTACGGTGAATTAGAGTTGTTAATGTATTAATATGCACTATTAGCAGTGTTACGTTTCATGTACCCATCTGAATAAAGAATTGTTTGCAATATTTTGTAAATGAATTATTGTGCCTTTGCTTAATTGTTTATCTGAAGTTCAATTTGTATTGATTTTACGATCAACTGTTTTTTCCCCTGTTATCTCGGAACATCCTGACATATATTTATTCGTTTTATTTATATTCTATCAATCAACTTATTCTTTCCCTCAGTGTTTTTCTGTTGTATTCGTTTAATGTTTTATTGCTAAAACCTTACAAATGTCCATCAATTTGGAAAAAAATAGTATATTCTATTCCATATAGTAGATTTACAACGTTCAGACTAACAAAGAAATCAAGCATCTTTCGTATATAATTGAAATTACAAGAGTTAATAGTTAACGCAATAGGGCCTATATATAAGTGTGTGCATGGAGTATACAAAACAGAGAATAATGGCCATCAATAATGAATAGAGAAAAACATGCGAAAAATATAGAATAATTAGGTGCACTAGTAGAAAGAATAATAATGGAACATTAAAGAATTAGATGAAACAATGCTGATTACCGAAATAAATGTAGTACAGAATAAAAGAAATATAATTGCATTAAGTGTAATAGTAATATAATGTTCAAGAGAAATTTACAGAATGCGCGTTATTTTCATAGACAAAGAGAAATGCTATAAATTTCAAAGACTACACAAGAGTGCACACGCTGAAATGT